ACCCCTGAAATTTTATCTTTGTTAATGCTGTAATAATGAAATAAAACTTTTTTATAACTTTAGGTGTTTTTTTTTTTTGTTGTTTTCTTGAAAGAAAAATAAGATGAGATAAGTATTTATTTCGTATTTCATATACTTTAATATTATTATAATATTAAAAGATTTTTTGAATCCAATTTTTCTTTTTAATTAGTATATGTTTTGGTTTAAAGAATTCAATTTTTTTAGATTAAGTCTTTGTGCGCGTAAAAGACTATAACACGTTTACGCGTGTATACGTGTTAGAGTCTTATACGCGTGTACTACCTTTAGGCACAAGAGTAATTTACATTAAAAAATATGTGGTATTTTTTTATATGGTATTTTGGATCAATAAATGCGATTTATTTATTTAAATCATATTTTGCGCGCGTAAATGACACTTACACGCGTAAGCTTGCGTTTTACGCGTCCTAGGAGCGCGTAAAAAATATTTTCAACAACAAATTTAAATTTTTTGACCCAAAATACGATAGTATTGATATATCACACGTTTATATATTTTCAGATTTCAAATTTGTTAATAATTTTTTTTGCGCGCAGCTTCGACACGTAAAATGCGCGCTTGCGCGTGTTAAAGGTGACTATACGCGTACAAAAAAATTTTTTGTAAGTTTTTAGAATCTTCAAAGACAAACATAATTTTGATATATTACTCTACTTGGTATTTTTATAAAAATGGTTTTTAAAGGATGTTGATACAAAGAGAAAAAATACTGTATTTTTTTTTACATTAAATTTATTATTTACATTACAATTAATTTAAAAACTTCATCTGGTAACGGTTTTCCTCGTTAGCTCTTAGTTTTCTAAAAGATATGCTTGATATTTTTGGATCTGATCTTACTAGAAGGTAGTGCATCTGATTTATCATTATGTTTAACCTTGATATTTTTGCCGTGTGCTTAAGTCTAGAATTTCTTATCTGTTTATTTAAACTCTTTAGTGCATCTTCCGAATATACCCCGATTGGCAAAGGTAATTTATTTGATATAGAAGAACTATGCAGTAGCAGCTTATGTACAGTAGGAGGCATAACATACCAGTTGTATAAACTCACTATATGTTTAGCTGTTTCAGTGCAATATAAATCTAATTCATTGATATTAATAGGATATCCACAAGATATTATGAGAATATTATGCATTCTTTTAATTATATCACAATCAACTTTAGTAATTTCAGAAAAAACTTCACTATTTTTAAATGCTTTGCTGGCAGTGTTGCCTTCATTCCTGTTTTCAGAACCAGTTTTAGGCATATCAACTATAGGCTTAACCGTTCTCTGAAGAGTACCTGAATTGGTCGCTTTTTTAAGTCTATAGGTAGTTTTTCCTCAATTGTTTTTGGCTTATACTTTTTAATTTCAATTTTATAACTCAAATGAAGAATGAACTCTAAGCATTTTATTCAGCAATGCAAAGCTGAATTTTCGAGCTCCAAGGCCGAGTGACTCTCAGTTTTTGCTTTTAATAAATCAATTTTGTTTATTTCCTTGGGTTTAGAATTGCACTCATTGCAGGATTGAGTGGATTTTGTCTCTGTAAGTGCGCTAACTACTTTATTATCAAACATTGTAAGATCAATCCTATAGCTGATATTAAATGTCCAAATTCTTCCTGAAAAATTAAAAACTTTGCAAAACGTCTTTAAGGTATATATTTGATTTTTTAGATCTGATTCTTCTTCTCTGGATAAAATTGGACTCTCTTTTTTATGTTGCAGATGAAAAGGTCTACAAAAGTGACAGCTTGAAGGATTTTCATTTTTCCAAATTTCGCCATTTTCTACTTAGGGCAATAAAGGCACAAAAGCTGTACTGAAAAAATTTTCTTCATGCTTAAGTTCTATACTTGCGTTGCTTGTATTTCTATCGTATTTCTATTAAAAATACTTTGGCTAGATGCTCCTTTTAAATTAAATGAACAGGTCCGGTCTCAGCTAATATATATATATATATATATATATATATATATATATATATATATATATATATATATATATATATATATATATATATATATATATATATATATATACATATATATATATATATATATATATTTATATATATTGAACTATTTATTAGTGAAAACATTGGAAAAAAAAATTTTTTCTATATAATATATATATAAATATATATATATATATATATATATATATATATATATATATATATATATATATATAAATGTATATATATATATATATATATATATATTTATATATATATATATATATATATATATATATATATATATATATATATATATATATATATGTATATATATATATATATATATATATATATATATATATATATATATATATATATATATATATATATATATATATATATATATATATATATATATATATATATATATATATATATATATAGGCTTGGTCGGGAAGCGGGAGCGATCGCTTTCGATTGCTGACCACGTAAATAATATTTAGTTGCGAAAAGCTGGCCAGATTTTTTAGTCGCTTTGAAAACATTTTAAAAAGCAAAAAAAAAAATTAGTTACAGAACATTTAGAGAACATTTTAAAAAAGATTAATTCGACCGATAAGAGACAATTACAAAATAAAAAAAAATTAGGCAAATAAAATATCTTTAAACGCGGAAAAACTTAAAGCTAAATAAATTACGTTTAAAACAAATATTTTCGAAACATCGCTCTTTTATAATTTTTTTAATAAAATTAAGCGATGTTTTATATAACAAGTCTTACGATTGTTTAAAAAGGAAGCAAATATTTTTTATTAAATAAAGTTTGCAAGTTTTAGTTTTATTTAAGCTAAATTAATTTATAAATTAAAAAGTTAATTTTTTTAATACCTATTTTATGTTTCGCGTAGTTTGAAAAGTTTAACATATTTGAAGCAATTCCTCTTAGTAAGATAAACAAATGAAATAATTAAATCATTGAATTACTATAGAAATTAAATAAACAAGATAAAAATCAACTAAAAAGGTTTAAAATACTTTATGACGAGGAAGCGAAACTGCTTCACGATATCGCTGATGTTTAGTGAGTGGGCTTTTTAATTTTAATTAGTATTTGAAGCAGAAAATGTATTACGAGTTTTTAATGGTAACTGAAGCAAAAAAATTAGAGTTAGTAAACCAATATCTTGAAACTTTTCTTTATATCTAATTATTTGATATATATATTTGTGTTCTGTCGTGACCTCGGTGCGGTACTTGTTCATCCGCGAGTTACTTTGTATGCGTTGTTGGTGTTTAGTAACCAGAAACTTCTTATATGTTGGTTACATAATTAATTTTATTAACTTTAACGATTATAACTTCATTGAAAACGCAATTTTTTTGTAAGTCTTTGTTTAAATCAAAAAAATTGCTTTAAAAATATATTACGATAAAAACAGATACACAAAGTTACATTTACATAAAGAATGCATACTTTTTAAATAAAAAATAAGAATATACTAATAAAATTATAATTTATTTTAAACTTTTAAAATTTTGACAATTTATTTAATATATATTTAAAACATTTATTTTTGTAAACAAATAATATATATTCTTAAAGTAATTTATCCCAAAAAATCGTGAATAATACAATTTCTAAAATATTTCAACAGAATACTCTAGAACATTATTTCGGTTAGTAAGCGTATTTTTTGAACCAATAGAATTAGTTTGTTGTTAATTTGGCGGACTTTTAGTGTTCGCGAATATTCTTTTTATTCTTTCGCACCAAGATGTTTTGAGAACATGCAAGTTTTTTATGTTTCCATGTATGTCCGCTAAACAAAAGTTTTTTGTTTCGTACATAAACTTAAATGTTCTTAAAACAACTAAAAAACCTGGCCAGTTCTTCGCAACTAAATATAATTTCCTTGGTCAGTATTCGAGAGCGATCGCTCCCGCTTCCTGATCAAGCCTGTTTATATAGTATATTTTATAAATAAACCTCTACAATTTCCTTGGTACAACAACTCGATTATGATTAATAACAACTCTGTAAATATCAATTTTCTAATAATCTAAATCTTAATAAATGATAAACAATTAAAATGTATGCAAATGATTAATGCTATATTAAATATAGAAAAACAAACATGTAATTGCACATTATATCCTAAACAAAAATTCATTCATGCAAGAGAAATTAATATACATTTATTGAAAAGCCAGAAACATTTTTTTAAAGAGCAAAGGTATTAACAATACTGTAGATAAATTTTATTTATAACAAAACGTTGTCATTGCTTTTATCCCAATTATTGAAAGCATGTGAAAGCATTAAAACTACCCATGAATATCTTTTAACGCTAGACACCATCTAAGAATTATAGTAATCTATATTTTCAATAATAACATCTATAGCACGAAGCTTTAAGTTTAAAAGTACAATTTAAAAAAAGATTACAATAAATTAGTTACTGAATAAAATTTTAAAAAGATTATATATTATCTATAATTTTAAGCTACTAAACATTATCTACTTAATATCTATTTAAATATTTTGAACTCGTGAGTGAAACTACCAATTAATCATTTTTAAACAACAATTGCCAACATGAAGATAAGCCAAAGATAACAACATAACGCAAAATATTATCAAAGATAATGTTGTGTATTTTCAGTATAGTTATATTAAAGGCTAGACAACACTTAGACCTAAAGCAGCGCTTGACTAGTAAGAATGACAAATATTGTTCTACACGTTTGCCAAGTCACACCACTTTGAAATCATGGAAACAACATTATATAAACATATATACTAACTATTTATATATTTTATTAATGTTATATAACACATATAAACGCCTCATTCAACAATCATGTACACATTAACCCTCTACTGCATGAATTAAAAAAAATTTCCGGATTAAAAGTAATAATATTTTTTTCTATTGTTATTAAGTTACAAAATAAAGGAAAAATATTTTTACAAAAGTTATTTTTCAATAAAAGCGGTAAATGATCAAAATATATTAGATGCCAATCGGCATCTGCATGCAATACATAAATGATTAAAAAAAAAATTTTTTTTTTAAATTTTGAAATGGTTTTGTACAACATAAAGAAGTCAATAAAAATAGTTTGAAAGTAAAATCATTTTGAAATTGTTGTTTTGTTACTCAGTGTAAAAACGTTTAAAACAGTTTTTCACCTTTGTATAGCACAGACTGATTTGACATTTTTCACAGCGAACCCGTGATTGCCCATTGCAACCAGGTAGTCGGCAGCGTAATCTTTCTATAGCCCAAATTGGCCAATGGCTCGTGTCATCTGTGCGAACATCGGCAATGGGCAAAGACTGCCGATGTCGTGCCTTCTTTATTTGACTCTCCAAGCTTGGCCGACCTGCAGTTCTCTTTTTGCTTGCCCCTTTTTCTGCTTTGCATAAACCTACTATAGAAAGAAACCAAATAATCAATTTAAAAAAGAAAAAAAGAAAACTATAAATGATAAAAAAAATTGATAAATAGGTATGAAGTAAAATATAATGATTTATATTAGCTAGTTGAAAAAATTCAGACTTATTACTTACCTTCTGCGATTTCAGCTTTGAACTCTGCCAATCTAAGTGTTTGTAATGAGCTGTTTTTTTGTGAATGGGCACGTTGGTACAATAGCCATGCATTCACCACAGCCATGCCCAAATAATTGAAAAATAAGCTATGATTCCATTTTTTTCAGCGGATGGTGATACGATAAAGTCCCATCAGACTATCCAGAAAATCAACACCACCCATATGCTGGTTGTAGGTGGAGATAATCTGTGGGCAGTCGATTTCCTTCCTAGTTCTCTCAGCCGGAAACCATCGCTTGACTGTAATTTTGGGCTCTGTACCCACGTATGTCGAAAACAGGTTGACTACTTTATTGTCATACCACTGTACAAATGTGAGGGTGATTCCATCCACTTCTGTTGAATACTCAGACATAGACCCACGACCAGTCTTTTTCAAATCCTTTTCTGTTTTTGCTGAGAGACCCTGCAATCTGTTTACTTTCACGATTCCTACACTCTGAATAGATAATTTTTCAAAATGCACCATCAAATCTATACTCGTAAAATAATTTTCGAAATACAATTTGTGTCCGACAGGTCGTATAGTCCAGGCCAAGTGTACAACAACATTTGAACTTGGCCCACAATAATTTTCATCAGGGAGAACAATGTTTTCCTTACCAGTGTAAATTTCCATATCATAAACAAAACCAGATTTACCTGAAAGGTCCCAAATCTTGTAGCGGTATGTGCGGTGTGTTTTTGTTATACTGTTGTTTTAGTTGTACCTTTCAAAGGCTATGGCCTTTGAAAGGTACAACTTGTTCATCAACGCATAAAGATTCCTTTTTAGGAATTGTGTTTAGACAATTGTATATTTCTGTCACAAGTGGCCTAATCTTGTGAAGCCGATCGCCATCTGGGTCTAAAGTTGTATTATCATTGAAATGGATAAAACGCCTAATTTCTTCCCATCTGTTGACCCTCATAGATTCTGAAAAGCTCTCAACTTTATATTTGGCGTTCTAGTACCTTCTTGTACTTGGTAAAACTACCAAGGACATCCACATAGCTATGCCCAGGAACTTCTCTAACTCCGCAACAGTCAACTGGAGTGGTTTTTCAGGACGAGTTTGAACAGCATAAAAGTTACTTTGCTCAACTATATGTTGTATTAGTGTTACAGGAAATAATGACTCAAAAAACTGAATAAGAGTTTTCAAGTCCAGTATGTAAGCACCTAGACTCTCATCTCCTGAAAATGGTAATCTGTCGGTTACATCCTTTGTAGTTTTCCACTGGATTCTTCGTTTTAATTTAGCTTTTATTTGTGTGCTAGTTGAAGGTATGTTATCATCTTTATCTTTTTTGGTTTTCAATGAAGATATGTCTTTAACGTCATTGCTTTCTTCTGAACTTTCATCGTTATTTATAGGAGGATTGTAGTCCTCATCCCGCTCATTGTCATCAGACAGCCCACTGTCATTGCTTTCAATAAGAATTATTCTCGTAATAATTTTTGGCTTGGAGCTATTCTTCCCATAAAATGATCGAACATTTATGTTAGCAATCTGCTAAAACAACATATAAAAAATATTGAATTAACTTATATTTAATTTCACTCTAATTTTACCAATATATCTTAGGGTTAAACCTAAATATGCGATACCAAATGGCATCGTCATGCGCATGCTCATGGCTGTTTTTTTAATTTATTATTTCTGATTGTCATACACTGAAAATAATCTTAAGTAAATTATGTTATGGTTTGAATCATAAACGAACTGTTCATCCTAACACTGAAAAATAAATTTATTTATAAAAACAAATAAAAAGATTATCTAACCAAAATTAAATTTCTACTCAGATATAAAATGAAAATTTGGGGAAAAAAAAAACTGTTGATATTTGGTTGATATTAGCACGATATGCGGAAGTGCTTAAAATTGAAACAAAAAAATAGACATGAAAAATATAATGAAATTACGTTTTTCATGGTGTTAACTATCCTACGGAAACGCCTAACGGTTCCTTTTGGCATCGTAGACTTTATGAAAAAGCATAGAAGCAGAGGTGCTAATTGGCATCATTATGCAGTAAGAGTTAAATAAAATACATTTCATACTATTATAAAAACACATTTATAAAACAACTATATAACATATCACCACATATAACTATTTATCAAAACATTTTCAACTTTGAGCATAATATAAACATGTATGCAAAATTTTAACAACTATAAAAAAACATTTATTAGCATCAATTATTTTAAATGTAACAAAAAAAGAAATTATGCAAGTCAGTATATATTTATCTAAAGTAATAAAAAAGTTTAAGAGCAAAATTCAAAATTTCTAATGAATACATATTCAGATACCTTAAAATAAAGCATAATACAACATTCTTTTGACAAATTCCAGAAGAATTTTTTTTGTTTTTCTATTCTTAATAATTTTTGATAAGAGAAAATATACATATAGTATAGATGTAGAGAAATATAAAATAGACTAAAATAAACGCAAACTTATGTATATAAACTTACACGAACACAAATAGAACAGTCTTATTTTATTTAACTTATTTAATAATTTATAAAACTTTATTTTATATTTAATTTTTTTTTGCAAAAAACAATCTTAGTCTATAATATAAGAAAACGAATTGAACTTACTAAAAAAGCCATCAGCTTCTCTTAACTGCTCTAAAAAATAAAACAATACTTGCTTAAAATATTCTAAAAAGGCTAACGACAAAATGAAACAGTTTACTATAAAAGAAACATTTTGCTAAAAAAACTATTTTACCAAACATTTTAGTTCTAACTTTTTCAAAAAAATAAAAACAAGCTATAAAAATTAGAAAAAATAAAAATAAACAACAACAAGCTAACAGCTATTTAAATTTTTATTTAAAAAAATGAACAACATCAATTCTTCTTGAAAATAAGTGTATCAGCTCCAATTTGCTTGCTGATTTTACTGGAAAGACCGCGTGGAATATATAACCGCGCTTAGAAAAGTCTAGAAGCAACTTAAAAACTAAGAAATAGTGTATTTTACATAATACAAAACAGTAAATAACAAAACGAACAATAGGCATAACAATGCGTAACTATGCGCACTAATAATAATAGTAATAATATTCATTGCCGTATTAATATTTAGATGGTTATATAAAGTTTCAACTTGTCTGTTGTTTTCAGGCATATCTTTGGAAGATATTGAAAACAAACCTTTAGCACTAACTTTTTCTCTTTCGATTTTAATATAAAAAGTTTATATTATAGGAATTTATATTCCGAAGAGCAGTTGCATGTAATGTGGGCTTGTTGTTTACATACAACTTTGCAACCAAATTCTTTATAATCAGAAAATATACACTTACTATCAAATAGTATCAAATAATATCAAAAAGTTTATCCGATTTCAATGTGAACTTTTTTTTATTTTCTTTATTTTCTCTGTTTACTGATATAAAAAAGGCAACATCCCAAGTATTTATAATTTTGTATTCAATTCTTTTCAGAATAAATTATTGAGCTTTAAAATTGAGTAATAAAGGCACATTTTAATAAAAGATATGGCACTTTTTTTGCCATATCTTTTATTAAAAAGGTTCTGTAGTTTTTATCCCACCTTTCTCTTAATAAAACTGCATATCGAAGTGTTTCTATATGTTGGAAGTTCAGAGAGTAACAACTCTTTTCCAGTACCAATTAATTTTTCATGTTGCGTGTCTTTATCTTTTTTGTTAAAGGATGCCATAATAATTTCTACTATTTTTTTATATTTTGCTCAGTTTATATTTAATTAAAATTTCTTTATAATATATATTTATTTATATTTATTGCCTTACTCATCACTTATTTATTAGTAGTTTTGATTAATTATCAGTAAATAAAATTATATTAGTTAAAGTAATATAATTTCAAATAACAAATTTAACGTCGTTCAAATGAAATATTCTTTACAGATAAAAATTTTTTATTTAACAATGCTTTCCCAATGTATACTTATTTCCTACCCAATGGGAAAAAATATATCTTTAGACGAATAAAAGACGTCTTTTTATGACCTGTTATGTCTTTTTATAATCAGCCTAAATAAAGACAATTTTCTGAAGCAAGTTACTATTTGCTCATTAACAACGAAAGTTGTTAATAAGGAAATCATTATTTGTTTAAGAAAATTGAAAATAATTATTGCCAATAGAACCCAACAAAGATGGGTCTCAGACACCAAACGGCTCCGGGCCAGAACTCTGGCGAATCATCGTACGCCGACATTCGTACGCCGTACGACTATATTAGTAATGGGCCAATACTAACGCAAGTCTGGCAATCGACTCAAGCAACTATTTATGTACAATAAATCATCGCAAGAAGTCGCAGCGGTGTGCGACAAAATGTTGCGACTACTCTGGCGAGTAGTCGTAAGCCACTACGACGGCATTTGATTTCGGGCCAGCACTGGCCTGATTGCGTTGAATACAGAGTTTTGGCCAAATCTGGTGTAGGGGAGAAATACTTCTGTTGAATTATAAAAACCGTATCCGCGTCCCGCATTACGCATAAATCTGTGATAATTTTACATAAGTTATTTTTTGTAAACAACATGCGTAATTTATTTAAAATATTTTTCAAAATATAATATTTTTTTAATTTACAAAATCTCCATATTATAAATACTTAATATTTTACAGTATTATACTTTATATAATAAAGTAATCATACTAAAGAGATTTTTTTATGTTAAAAAAAAATGCAAAAACTTTTTTTCGCTATTTTTTCGTATATTCATATTTTGGAATTATTTATTTAGTTTTTTACTTTACTTTTTGAAAGAGATTATTTTTTGGTTTGGAAAACTTTTTTTGTTTATTTGTTTTATGCATCTTTTATTTTCAGATAAATTATAGAGCATAGATTAAATACCCTGAAAAACATCGTTTGTAGAATTGTTTGTGTCCAGCTAGGTGATTAAATCATTTTTAAAAGGGGGCCTACTTTAGACCACTCTCCCCAATATTTAAAACTCCAAGTTGTTAAAAAACTGAAAGATATTAGGTGGCTTAGTAAACAGGCTATTTAAAAATAATAGCTACTCCCAGTTAAAGAAAGCATTCATTTTCATTAATGAAAT